TATATATATATATATATATATATATATATTACGAGAATTCAACATACAATCAAATAAAATAAAACAACAAATAGAGACACCAAAAGTTTTTACATGAAAAATCTGAAAAGGGAAAAAAAAAGGGAAGACTAGGTCGTACAGAATAATTCGTTATGAATTGATGATTACACATCAAGGTCATTGTCCCGCGGACGGGAGGGAGCAAACTGTACAATTTCTCAAGTTACAATATCTGTTGCATAATGTTCGGTGGTGATTGAAATTGGTGACGGTTGTCAGGATTCCAATATTCCATCTTTGAGCTAGATGATGTAACACTCTATTGGATGCTTTGTTATTCTGAATTGTATGTTGAGATACCACAACAAACACTGTGATTTTGCACTGAGCTTCATCGTAATGAGCAGGAGTTGGTGGTTGGCTGCAGTTGGCATGCGATGGTCAACGGTGGTAGGCCGCTGCAGGAGCAGAGAGCTCTTGTCGCCGATGCAAAATGTTAGACTTAAAGTCTTTCCTCTCTTGGTTCTAATCTTTCTTTGGCGTAGAGTGTAGTCCCCTTCGCAAGAGGGTAATATGACTCTTATTTATATAATCCAGATTACAAACAAGGAAGAAATCTGAATCACTCTGATCAGACGATCTGGAAAGGTTCACTCGATCAGACTATTTTCTCTGGGCATTTATGTGTTTTAATAATGTCAGAACTAAATGATCTCGGGGTCCTTGGATTTCTCTTGTCGAGACGTTCGATTTGACTATAAACTTACCAAATTTAGAATATGCTCAATTAGATTCCTCTTGTCAAGACGCTCGATATAATAGACCAATTTTGGTTTCATTGTGTTTGTCCCATCGAGACGGTCAACTTGACAGTAAGTTTGTTGAAACCGTTGTTTTAAGTAACTTTTAATTGAGATTTGAATGTTTCTTACTAAAAAAATTATCTCTAGCTTCATGTTGGATGAGAAGAATTTGTTGATGATGTATCAATTGCATCTCTATTGTTAGGCGAGACCAAATTTTCTTCCAAAATATCAAAATTTGGATCACTATATATATATATATA